TTGTTTTGCAACTGTTGGAAGTTTCCTTCGCGTTAATTGGATCATACTTTTAGATCTAGAAGAATGGTCCTATCTCAGCAGCAATCATAAAACGGTTGCAAAACTGTTGAGTCTGCTGAACGCAGCCAATGTGTAACACCGGTTGCGTCTCTCTGATAAATCTAGGACTCTAACTTTACGAAGCGTTTGGGGAGAGTTTGGGGAGCATGTATGAATATTCAAAACCACTAAAAATCAATGAAAAATCGATGAAAAATCGATGAAGTGTTTAAGAAACGTTAAAATTCTTTGTTCACACTTCTTTGACGCTTCGACAAGCTTTACATTTTCATCAGGATCAGAGGGCTGCTGTATCAGCATCTTAATTACTTAAAACAGTCTTAAAATAAGAACCGATTATAAATATCGGCGTAGCTTTATTAATATGTATTATTATTACTTAAATTTTGTGATCACATGTCCTATTTTGACGCTAAATTGAGCATCAAGCTAATATATTACAATGTGAAATATTATATTTTCTTAAATGAAAAAGAAAAAATACCGTGTTGAATATTATTCATTTGTATGTGTGTATGTTTATGTATGTATGTATGTCACACTAATTATAAAGGAAGCCTTAAATATAAGGCTTGACTATGAATACAGGCATAAAAGTATATTATTTAAAAGTAAACAATTTTTAACGAGCTCTCAATGTTCAACAATAAATTAAAATAAAACCGGGCTAATTAGAGCTAAACACCGCTGTAATTTGTGTCTATTATACAATTTTATTCGTAGTATCATATACAGTATATTAACTATTAATCGACGTTTCGATTGTTCTTTACAGCCATCTTCAAGATATTCAAATTTAGAAAATGGCTGTAAAGAACAATCGAAACGTCGATTAATAGTTAATATATTGTATATGATACTACGAATAAAATTGTATAATAGACACAAATTACAGCGATGTTTAGCTCTAATTAGCCCGGTTTTATTTTAATTAATTTTATTTAAAAGTATTATCTTATTTCCAAGAAAACATATTCAAACATCATTTCGTGCGCATTTCGATCATTACAACGCATGCGCATTTGTCACAGAGAATGATCATGACGCTTATGTCGCTGTTTTTCGTCGGTATGATAGTTTTACTAACCTATAATCAACTTTAACGATTAATATCTCGGTTCGCGGGCCAGAGCGAAAGTTTTTTTTGCCAGATTCGGTCATTTCGTGCAAAAACGCGTCGAATGAGCCTAATTTTATCACTACCGGACATGAGGTAGCTCAACTCAATTATCTAGATGCCTCATCTAACCCCCAGCCGCCTTTTTCGTATGTCAAAAATCATATTTTTACGCACAATCTTCTCGAGCCATGTCGGATGCTTTTGAAGAGATACAAGCGATTAAGATAAAGAGAAACAGTTATCGTGAGAAATTACAGAAGAGGAAACGTGAGAGACATGAATTGTATACGCTCACTTCTACGCCGGCTTCATCCACCCTGACGGCAGAGTCGGCGTGTCCTGGTAATAAGTATATACTGTTACGATTTATATTAACATTTGTTATGTGCGATGAGAAAGAATTTGTTCTCAACTTTAATGTAACTGTATATCTCTGTTACAGATTCTAATGCATCTTCACGTTCGGATCACAGCGAATATGAAAGAGATGTACTTTGTATCTTGCACGAGTCCTTACCTAATCTACCGATAACATCCGCAGACTTGATAGATCAGCTACGTAAAAATCTCAATGCCGATGTATCTTCTTCAGACATTCACAAGATTCTGGAGAAGCTGGCTACACAAGATATAGTTAAGTTAGTATAGTAAGAATTATATATCCAGTAAACACAGAATATAACTGCAACATTGCAGCAATATTATAACATTCCTACTATATTGCAGAAATATTCTATATTTGCTGGGTAACATCCTGCGATACTATTTTGTTAGTGCATGATACATTCAATATAAGAAATACTTTATGCACATATTTAGGATCAAAGAAGTTACAGAAAATGGAGTATTTGGATATACGGTGTTGTCGGTAACAGAATCCCAATCGTCGTGTCAGTCCCAGTCTGATGACACAGAGAATGCCGAAAGCATAGAAATGTCTATGTCTGAATTAAATGACCATGTCCCTCCAGAGAAACAAGCGAAAGTGGACAAGAAAAATACCGAGGATATCATGTCTCTAATTTCGATGCCTACGATCAGAGAAAAGGAGAGCAAGAAGGTCGGTGAACAGATCCTGGATCTACTGTCAAAACAGACTTCCAAAGAGAAATCGCTGGCGGAACGATTTCGCTCTCAGGGAGGAGCTCAAGTTATGGAATTTTGTCCTCATGGTACAAAAGTAGACTGTATGAAATTGAACGGTGGTCCAGGATTTGCGGAAAAATGCAAAAAGCTGCATTTTAAAAAGATCATACAGAGTCATACTGATGAATCTTTGGGAGATTGTAGTTTTCTCAATACCTGCTTCCACATGGATACATGCAAGTAAGGGCGTGAAAATTACTGGCATTTATCAGTAGACAGTTAAATTCGCTTCTTGATACGGTTAATTGTAACTCGAATTGAGTTAATCTATAAAAGATAAATCATACATATTTAACTTTGACTTTCTCTGCTTTTAAAGGTGCAGTTTTATACAGCGAAATTGCACCTTAAGCCAAAAAAGATTTAGTTAAAGATGTCAATTTTTTTTATTTTGTACAGATATGTTCATTATGAAGTAGATGGTCCTACAGCACAACCAAAAGAAATCAATGACTCCGATAGTCCAAGCAATACCACATCTAACAAGACATTGAATCTAGATAGCAAAAACGGTAGTAGTAGCAGTAGCAACGTAGGTAGCGAGTTGACTCTGTATCCACCACAGTGGATCCAGTGTGATTTGCGTTACCTCGACATGACTGTTCTTGGCAAGTTTGCTGTGATCATGGCCGATCCACCATGGGACATTCATATGGAGTTACCTTATGGCACTATGTCGGATGATGAGATGAGACAATTGGGAATCCCGACACTTCAGGATGAAGGACTCTTGTTCCTTTGGGTGACTGGCAGAGCCATGGAGTTGGGAAGAGAGTGTTTGCAGCTATGGGGCTATGAGAGGGTTGACGAAATCATCTGGGTAAAGACCAATCAGTTGCAAAGGATAATACGGACTGGTAGGACAGGTCATTGGCTGAATCATGGCAAGGAACATTGTCTGGTCGGCATGAAGGGTAATCCTCGTATCAATCGAGGATTGGACAGTGATGTGATTGTCGCTGAGGTTCGTGCTACTAGCCACAAACCCGACGAGATCTATGGCATCATCGAGCGAATGAGTCCCGGTACCAGGAAAATCGAATTGTTTGGTCGGCCGCATAATGTACAGCCCAACTGGATTACGTTGGGCAACCAGGTGGATGGTGTTCATCTAATTGATCCACAACTTATTAAAGCCTTTAAAAAACATTATCCCGACGGAAACTCAATGAAGCCTACCAAGCCATAAGATTTCCTCGTCCAATAAAAGATTAAACGGAGATTAATGATATAATTAAATTTCCAAAGAATTTAAAATGTTAAGTATCAATTTTAAGAAATTTAGATCAAGTTTTTTAAAAAGATGGTTTATATTTCTTCGCCTCTATCAAGTACAATGTTTGAATTTGCTAAGTATCCATCGCGTTTTTTACATTTTTTTAAGAGTTCGATAAATAGATTAAAATTTTTATAAATAGACATATCTATCGATATAAATTAAAGCCACTTCTGGTTTTGTTAGTTTATTGCAAAAAAATGTGTATATATATATCCCATCTACCATTTAAATATATGCTAATATAAAATGAACGCATATAACTATAAATATAAAAGACTGAATCTTTCCCATGAATATTTGAGATAGATGATAATTTGTACATATATATTACATTATTTTTAAACCATTGCTTTATTTAGCATGGTATGTATACACACACGTGTAAGTTCTTCCTTAATAAAATTAATTATCGGTATTAATGTGGATTAAATCCTGAAGCTAAAATCAACTTTTATGACGTATAAGTTAATCCATTTTAGCGTAAGATTGTAGATTATAAATGTAATGTGTAAATGTACTGCTTCCTGTTATTTACGTATAAATACAAGTATATTCTCAATCTTTCTAAATTTATATCGCTGTTGTGTTGAAATGTGTAATACACTGTTATTTTGAAAACTTTTAGTTATTATTGACAATTTTTAAGTATAAAATAAATCACTTGAAAAATTGCAACGTAGATAAAAATATGTAATTATCGTATATATTAACTTATCATTTTTGTACTATTTGATTGGAATCATTTTATCATTTTTGTATATATAATACATCAATTCTTCTTATTGAAGAGATAAAAGCTGCCGAATGTAAGTTTTCACTATATATAGCCAATACTGTTGCGTTTTTGCTTAAGTAGACTCTTCCTTATGGAAAAGGAAAATAGGTTGTCATTTATACTGCTTGTGGAAGTTCTCCTGGATATCGACGTTCTCGCGACACAATTATTTGACTTTGTCGTTAACTCTGTGTTGTCCAACAAGTTTTCCTTGTCGTCAGTATTGAACACTTTATCTGGAATGCATATTCTAGAGTGTATCTTGTTGAACGAATCAACCCAGTGTCTTTTTTTATGCCCGTCTTCCATTATGAAAGAAAATTCTCCGATCTTGAAGTAAATTTCTGCGATATTTTTATCTTCCACTTGCACACATATCTGTTCCTTGGGTATGATAGGAAATGATGCGTTGTACTTTTTGTTAACGCGCCGCGTAGGGCGAGTTATCACGAAACAAGTGTCGAAAAGAAAGCAATGATATTTCTGCAAACAGATAATAATTTGTGTCGAAAAACCTATCGAAATAAAATTTATATATGCGTTATCCTTTGTATTGAAATTAAACTTACTATTCCACGTGTATCCTTAAGTTGACCCTCTGTAATTAACTCTGTGGCGTTGGCGATGCATTTTTCAGGATCGTGCTCGATCTTCGCGTTTATTTTTGATTGAGCAAGCTTGCACTCGGCATTGCCCATGATAAAATCGATATCCTTCAGTAAATCGGAGAATACGTTACTCGCCTCTTTCAATGGCAAATGATCTGTGTCAGCAGCAGGCGTATATTTTAAGATCTCCTTTATTAACAGTGGATACTTCACAATCCTTGAACGTGGTACATCCAAGTAAGTCCACAGGTCGACGGAATGTGGTGATTCTAGGCGCTTCTTTAAAAACGACTGGAATCTCTTATTGGTAAATCTTTTCTCCTCCAGTAAATGCCTCGCCCAAACTAATGTTCTGCATCTTTCCAAATATGGTTTCTTTAATGTTGACAGCTGTGAACAGAATGAAATTAATGTCACATATGATACACAGTGGGATACCATGTCTCTGTACGAGAACAAAGTAATTGATGAGTCTCGGGTTCGATCTCTCATTCCATACACGGATTTTTAAATTTTAATTTACATAATCCATGTAAATTAAAGATAGGAAAGGAAACCCCCAGGTAAAAATTTCATAGGCCTTTCTAATTAGCAATTGTGCTAACCACATTAAAAAACTTATGTCCATTTCTTCTAATGTAGTTTAACTTTAATCTTTCTAAGAATTAGAAAAAATGAAGAATAAGTTGATTAAATTTAATGTACATTGGTGGAAACAGGCATTATTGTTGTAAACGTTCAAGAAGATCTAGTCTTTAGAATAAATTAAGATCTACCCTAATATTATAGAGCCAATGTTGATTGATGACGCATAATGAAACATATTGATAAAAGAAAATTAACTAACCCAATTTAATAGCGTCGGTCCTACGGTCTTTGTGAACCCGTATCTATCCCGTAATTTGAACAATTCATCTCTCAAGTTACTGTGTATTTCGATGAGATTTATGAGATCGCCAAAGAGTGTGGATAACTCTTCGGATGTAAAGATTTCAGTGGCTGACATCGGTTCGTAATAGTAGTTTCTCAGCATATGGAGCTCATTTAATAACACATTTTCGCCACAATATAATTCATAAATGGCCTCCTGCCGTCTGATCTCACTTCGACTTAATATGCTGTTCAATCGCTCGTCGCCACGTGGCTGTGCGATGTCCGACATCCAACTCCTGATCGTCAAACTGTTACAGCTCTCAGTAGCATTATTCAATCTGAAATTAGGATATAGTTTATTTTAAGAAAAGAGAACTTTCCTCATAAGTCAAAACATTTAATAACAAATTCGGTCAAATGCACTACACTAGATTAATGTATACTTAAAGCTGTTGTATATAAAATAACATTAAATATAAAAGCATATAGATATTTTAAATGATTAAATTCTCAATAAAAATATTATCATGTTATTTAACAGAATATATTGGATCAGAATAAAAGTTCATAGCTCTACTTCATGGATGATTTTAAATGGAGTTATGAGCAAAATCAAAATGCTCCTTTTATTTAATCTGCAGTAACTTAGTAATAAAAAAATCTTAAGAACATTTAAAAAAAATAATTTTGTTAGGGAAACTTTTCACGTTAGAAAATCAGAAATTTTCACAAGTTTTTTAAGCATGTAATAAGTCCATAAAGTGAAAAAAATTTTTCTCATTTCGTCCAGCTTGTAGTTTTCTATATTTGATAAAAATTATCAAACTCACAGAAACTGAAAAAATATAGTAACCTTTCGAAAGTAAAAATTTAAAGATAAAAAATCTTTTTTTAAATTTAAATTTCGTTTTAACCAAATTGACTGAATTTTGAAGTTCATGAAAGTTCATACCAACTGTTGTTTCAACCTAATAAATGTATTGCTTTATTGTCAAAGTTGATTATGTTATGCCACTGCATTCAGATACTTTAGATAAAACAGTCTTTACACATAATGTGCATTAATCCAGCATAGAGCGATTGAATTCACCATAAGTTTCACTCTTAAGCAATTACTTTTTACGTAACGTTCTCGTGTCTGCTTCATCCTCAATGATAGACAGATCCGAGGAGTTTGGCTGGATCGTGAAGGATCTGTGCAGAGTGTTTCCTGATTTATTCGCTGTGGAGGAAAATATGCTGCTGGCAACCTCCGTGATTCTGCGACGTTTCTTCTTCTTGCCCATGTCAGAATCTATCGATATATCCATCGAGCTGACGCTTATCGCATCGCTCTTCAGCCGTTTTCTCGGTCTCTGTAGCAGAATATTTTAGCGTTTAGACGTCAAGTGTAATGTCAATGACAGCAACAATCTCATTATCGTCTGACAATTCGAATAGAACTGTAATAAACACCTGTATCGCGACGTGTACGTGACACCGGTATCATGCTAATCGTGACGATTAAAAAATTGAAGAAAAAATGCAGTCCCGCTGACATTAATGACATTGATTTTCGAATGTCGGTTACACTCACAGCCGGTTGCGGGAGGCGTCGTTTCGCGGAATACCGAGAAATAAATCGATGTACTCACCAGCCAAAACCTTTTTCGGGGTTCCTGAAACGTATCCTTGATCGTCGTGTTGCACTCATCGTCCATGATGTCAATTGTCTAGAAAAAAAGAGGAAAAACTCGAAATTTCACAGTACAACTCCTCGGAACTGCACGCACTAAATATTTGATCTCATGAATTGGCTAGGCGGTTGTAGCGGTAGTGACCTCATTTGCACTCCACGCTTCTACACCTACACCTTTTTTTTTATTATTATTATCATTTGTAAAAATAAATATTTTAGAAAATTAATTTAATATTATTATAGCGACACAAAAACAATATCGGTTTTTATTATAATACAATTTTCTCATATAGAGATACTGAAAATATCTTAGGTCTGTTCTCTGTGACTGAACTTTCTATACATTTTAATTTTCCTCTCTTTCTCTCTCTCTCTTTCCAATGTCTAATTACATACTCTATCTCGTTTTAGGTGCAGAAAGTATAATATAGTACAGATACGAAAAACAGATCACTTGTAAATTTCAAAATATTCTTCTATTTGCGCTTTTCATAATTTCCCTGTTTAAGTCTTTCTTTCTTTTTTCTTCAACAACTATGAACGTTAAATTTCATTTTGAATACAGAAACATTTAAACGTATATACAGGGTGTTTCCAAATTAAATGGCAAAACTTCGGGAGCGTGTAGAGGAGTAAAAAACTAAGAAAAAAAGTCCTATAGACATATGCTCCTTTTTGCTTTGTTTCGCAGGAAATCACGAAAAAAGAAAAAAATATATTTAATTTATTATTTTAATTATTTTATTTATAAACTTTTTAATGAAGATTTTGTTCGAAATGTGCACCTCTTGCAGCAATACA